TCCTCCCGCAGCCAAGCCCGATGGCTTTGATCAGCAGCGTGTTTCCCGGGGCTGTTATGGCAGTGCCATGGAAACGTCCATACAGGCAGGATGGAGAGTGTAAACACACCCTACCAGTGACACCAGAGCAGGAGACAGCTCTGCAGAGGCAGCAGATGAGGCAGGGGCTCGTGTTGGGGCTCTGTGGGATGAGCTGTTCTAGCTGGATTGCCCCAGCTCTCCTCATCCTGCCCAGACATGCCATGAGCCATGTCAGGTCAGGGTCTGAGCTCAGCAGAGCCTGGTGTGAACCCCCACTGAAGAGCACCGTCCCTGCGTCATGGTACTCACGGGGTCTCCCAGCACCTCGTGCCATCCCGCTGGGTTCTCTTCCTGTTGCTCTGAAACCATTTGTGTTTCTTGGTGCACTGTTCTGGGTTTTTACTTCTGAGCCCATTAACCAGCTCCACTCATCTTCCACAATCCTGATGGGCTCTTCTCTGAGCTGTGGGCTTGTGTGAGGTGGAGCCTTGCACCTGCAAGCTGGGCTGGCTTAGACCTTCCCCACCACAGCAGAGCGTTTGGCTGCTGGAGGTGACGGTTGTGGCTCAGTGCATTTGAGAGGGATGCTGCAGGGCTGGGTGCACCCTGCGGGTGAGCCCCACACAGCTCCAGCATCCCCAGCTACTCCTAGCCAGGCCGGAGGTTGGACAATGCTCCTGAAGGGTTTGCAGGGTTGTGCTGTACCCATGTGCTCTCTCTCCTTCCTCCAGGATCCTGCGCAGAAACAAGCTGAGGTGGATCCAAGATGGGACGTTTTCCAGGCTGAACAGGCTGGTGGAGCTGTGAGTTTCCAGCCATCCCCTGCCCCAAGCCCTCCTCTGCTGCAGGCAGGGGCTGTGCTGGGTGCCCCTGCCCAGGGCACCCAGCTGCTCAGCACACCCTGGTGCCAGGCTTGCAGGCAGGTGCCCTCAGCCACCTCTCAAATGCTGCTCTCCTTCACACAGCGACCTGTCGTCCAACAGACTAGACCTGCTCCCCTCCTTCCTATTTAATGGCCTGGCTCAGCTCCAGCAGCTGTGAGTACCAGAGCTGCGCTGCCCCAGCAGTGTCCCTGCCCCTTGCAAGTGATGGGGGGCCTTGCAGGACCCCTACACACCCTGCATCATCTGGGGTGGATGGCCTTGCTGCACAATCTGATTGCTCACCAGAGCCGCGGTGGCCCTGGCAGGTCTCCTTGCAGCACGGTGCAGTCGCAGACGCTATGCCTGGGGGCTGCGGACCCATCCCGGGGCAACAGGGAGTGCTGGGAAGAGCCATAGAAAGACACCCCTTTGCCCCTACTTCTGCTCTGATAGCTTCCAGGTGGGACAAATAGCTAAGATTTGTCTCTTTTCAGGAATATTTCCTACAACCCCTTAAGAGAGATCTCCCCTGGCCAGTTTGAGAGCCTGCCCCAGCTACGGTCTCTGTAAGTCCCACCACTTCCCCAGCCCCCCAAACCCAGTGGGGCAGCTCATAGCATCCCCTGCACTGCTTTCCTTTTGCAGGAGCTTGGAAGGGCTGGAGATCCCCAACATCCAGAACCTGACCTTCCAGAAGCTAGCCAACCTCTCCCACATGTGAGTGGGGGGAGTAGGCGGCTGCTGCTGCCCCAGCACCCGTGCACAGGAAGGCTGGGTGCAGGGAGGGAAACCAGTGCACTCCTACACCCGTGAGCAAGTTATTTCAGCCCACTGGAAGCCCCTGGGCATGAAGATGCTTAAATCCTCCTGAGGCAAATAAAAATCTCCCAGTGGGAGCTTACACAGAGCAAGGGGAGTATTTCACCCATGGGAAGGGACCAGTTTGCAGGGCCATGGGTCCCCCATTTAGGTGAACATGAGATACAGAGAGTGACCTGCACTTCTGAAGGTGCAGACTGCATAGGTGGTGTGGGCAAGGTAACTCAGCCAGCCAAGGCATACTCTGGTCTGCCAAAAACTGGGGTTAAGTAGTCCCGTTCGAGGTCCTTCTGCTTAGGTCTGGGATAATGACCCAAGAATCCCAGAGATGTGCAGATGGACAGGCATCACACCCAGGATGGAAAGGACCATGCAGCCAGCTCTTTGGAAGGAGAAAAAGAATCATTCATTTTCTCCAGATGAACATTTTAAAGTACCTATAATGAAAGACAACTGTACATCTTCCTTCCCATAATTGGTCTGTTTGTACTATACATACGGTACATTTCCTACCTGACTTGCTAATAAGCAATCATTTTCTCTCCTTTTATCTATAATTAAGTAGAAAGGAGCCTCACATTGTAGTTTTGTAGTCATTTTCTAATGTAGAGTTTTTGCTAATCTTATATGGGTTGGCTTTTATAAGGCTTGAAAAGATTAATCTGAAATAATTCGCAAGGGGGAAAAATGTGAATCCTTGTTAATGGAACTTGAAGGATTTGAATAAGGGATTGATTTTTAAAATGGTAGTTTGTAAGAATTAAGGGTTGGAGGAAAACACTCTAGTATTTATCAGTTGGCAGTGCTGAATAGTGACAGATTTAAGAGTGTGGCTGTGTGGTACGTGATCCAAAAAACACTGGAATGCCTTGAGCTGGTTTTGCAAAGGCTTTGGGATGTTGCTTATTTGGTGTCCAAAACCACTGCAGTACTGCCCGAACAGGGACCCTTCGCTCATCTCTGTCACGCTCCGTCCCCTCTAGCAGATTCTGGCCGCAGGTGCTGTCGAGGGGCAGGCTGTGTGCTAGCATCCCCCTGTCCCCACTCCCACCCTGTGTTGCTGCTGCCTCCCGCCTCCCTCTAACCTCCCATCTCTTTTCCCCTGGTCTGTTTAAGTCCCTGGGCTCTTGGCTAGTGAGGTGGGACAGGGGTGGGATGTCTTCTCCACACAGACAAGGTAAAACGAGGGGCTGGCAGGGGAGCTGGTGGGAGCAGGCAGAGCATGGGGTGTGTGGCAGAGGGGCTCTGCATGCTGGACCACATTTGCTCCTGGTCCCAGTGGAAGCCAAGAAACCTTCCTCCCCCCTCCCTGTCCCACCAGCTACTTCAAGAAGTTCCAGTACTGCAGCTACGCGCCCCACGTGCGCAGCTGCAAGCCCAACACCGACGGCATCTCCTCCTTCGAGAACCTCCTTGCCAACATCATCCTGCGCGTCTTCGTCTGGGTCATCGCCTGCCTCACCTGCTTCGGCAACCTCTTTGTCATCTGCATGCGCTCCTTCATCGTCACGGAGAACAGCCAGCACACCATGGCCATCAAGTCCCTGTGCTGTGAGCTGGGCGGTGAAGGGGCAGGGACTGGTGGTGGGGCATGGAGGGAAGCGGGGCAGACAAGCTGCCCTCCAGCACCTCCCCAGGGAGGGGTGTCTAGCTGATGCCAGCCCTCCCCAGTGCAGCCAGGAGGCCCTTGCTGCCCGTTCTTCCCTTTGTGCTTCTGGCAGATGGTTTCCTGGGCATCCCTCTGTGCCTGGGGCATCTTGGCCCCTGCCCTCAGGTCTGTGCTCACAGGGACCAGCAGTCAGCTCTTTTATTTACACACACGTATATATATATATCTTAAAGCCAAAGGCTGCCTGGGGCTTCACGACAGCTCTGTGATGGCTTTATGGTCATGGCATTAATGCCAAATGCTACATTTGCCCACCGGTGGGTATTTTTCTCGCTGTACCTTGCCTCCCCTCCAGGTGCAGATGGCCTGATGGGCATCTACCTCTTCGTCATCGGAGCCTTCGACCTCAAGTACTCGGGCGAATACAACAAGCACGCCCAGGGCTGGATGGGCAGCCTCCAGTGCCAGCTGGTGGGCAGCCTATGTCCTCCGAGGTGTCAGTCCTGCTGCTGACCTACATGACCCTGGAGAAATACTTCTCCGTTGTTTTCCCGTTCAGCCACCACCGAGCTGGCAAGAAGCAGACAATCTCGGTGCTGGCAGCCATCTGGCTACTGGGCTTCTCCCTCAGCGTCGTCCCCCTGTGGTGCAAGGAATCCTTCGGGAATTACTACGGGAGGAATGGGGTGTGCTTCCCACTGCAGTCCGATGTGGGCGAGCAGCCCAGTGCCCGGGGCTACTCCACCACCATCTACCTGGGTAAGACCACCTCAGGATTTGGGACCCAGAGATGGGGACAATATGGGGCACAACAATCTTCTGTGGTAGGGGTGGGGCTGCTCAGCCCATCCCCCCAGGCTGCCACCAGAGCCCCCGCTGCTGACTTTAGGGGTGCTGCCATGGTGCTGGGACCCTGTAAGGGAGGGTGCCAGCTCTGCCCCTGTCCCGAGCTGGTGAGGGTCCCCACTCCAGCCACGCACTGTGCACAGCCTCACTCCACGGCTGGCCATGGGCATCACTAGGCTAAGACTGACTCCAGGACTGGCCAGGGCTGCTGAGATGTCTCTGCCCCCTCTAGTGATAAAAGGAGGAGTTGTCCTGCTGCTGCCAGCTACGCTGCTGCTCCCGGCTCCAAAGGTTGCTGGATACACTCAGAGTGGGATTTCTTCCTCTCCAGGCTTGAATCTCGCAGCCTTCATCACCATCGTCTTTGCCTACTCCAGCATGTTCTATTCCATTCACACCACTGCATCAAAAACGGCGGAGAGAGGCGTCTGCTCCCGGGAAGTCGCCATCGCAAAGCGGTTCTTCTTCATCGTCTTCACTGATGCTCTCTGCTGGATCCCCATCTTCCTCCTCAAGCTGCTCTCCCTGCTGCAGGTGGAAATACCAGGTGAACCCACATCCCCTGGAAAGGCCCTAAAGCAGAGCCCGCTGCCGGCTGCTGCCCGCCATGAGTTCCTGGGTTGGGGACGCCTTGATGTAGGTGCTGCTGAGTTTGGATCTCTCTTCACCCACACATGGGCTGCAAGAGGAGAAGGACAGCATTACTGGTTTCCCTGGGTCCTGCTTCTCCCCAGGGAGCAGCAGTCACAGACGCTGCCATGGGGAGCTGCCCCTCTGGCCATGAGCTGACAAACAGCATCACCCCGCTCTGCTGCATGGGCTGGAGTGGGTGGGTTACCCCTGGGCAGAGGGCAGCCCACTCTTCGGCTGCCTAATGTCATGTCCTTGTTGGCACAGGCACCATCACCTCTTGGGTGGTCATCTTCATCCTGCCCATCAACAGCGCCTTGAACCCCATCCTCTACACCATCACCACCACCTCCTTCCAGGAGAAGGTGAAGGGCTGTTTGCAGACCAAGCAGCCGGAGCTGCTCAAGTCCCACAAGAGCGGGACCCTGGTGACACTGCAGGCCAACAGCGCTTGACCCTCCCCAGCAGCACCAGGATGCCCGTGGCTCCCCAGCCTGCCAGCCACTACCTCCAGCCCCACGAGAAAGCACCTGGCTCAGCTCTGGGATGCTCCTGTGTTGGAGAATCACTAACCATGAAGCTTTTCTCATCAGCCAGCAGATATCGTTAGTACTTTATTAATTACACAGATGGGAAGAGCAACCCCCATCCAAGTCAAACAATCTGTTGCAGTTGCATATGATACAAAACAAAAGTCCCTTAAATACAAAATACACGTCTTTTAAGTGAGCATCACCTGGCGCTGAGCTCTGCCACCGGAGTTATATATTAATATTCCAACTGTACAAGTATTTATAGATAGAAAAAAGAAACACTTTAAAAAAATATTAGGAGAAAAATCACTCCCCTAAATGTTAGTTCTATTTTTATAT